ATGGGGAGGCACCTACAATTCCAACAATCTCTTCAACATACGGAGCGAATCTAACGGATTTTCGACGTTTAGAACTACCAGCAACAACAGGTCTTCTAGGTTCACAAGGATCCGTAGTGCACAAGGCTCAGTAATTTCAAGGCTCACAGGGTTTTTAGGTTCACAAGGTTCACAAGGTACAGTTTTTCTACAAGGTCCAGAAAGATCGCAAGGCTCAACAGAATCACAAGGTTCAGAAGGCACAGCAGCCTGGACAAATAGGACAAGGATCAGAATTCCTTCACCACCTCGCTTATAACTCTGTTTGTCTACTCAACGTATCTACATGGGCCATATTCGAACCCGGCCTATGGACTATTGAATAATTAAGCTTTCCAATTCAAGGACCAACGGGCAGTACGAGGATTTATAGATTTCTTACTCAAGGTTTGAACCAAGGAACTACAATCGTTACTATTAGAAAAGGCTTACGTTCTAGGTATATTCTGATCCGGCGCAAGGCATATATGATTGCTAGGGTTTCAAGTTCAAAACTATGGTAACGAGACTCGGCTGCAGTGGCCTTCCTTGAGTAGAAGAAGACAGGATGTAGTTTCTTGTCTGGTTGTCGCTGCATTAAAACAGCCCCAAACCGTGGGAACTCGCATCGATATGTAACTCGGTTTCGTAAAGGGGATTAAAATTGACAGAACCGGAGGACTCGACAGCGCCGTTCTTAACTCCAGGAAAGCACTCCTTTCGGGACCCGACATTGGAAATGGCCCACCTTTTCTCAAAGGTCAGTTAAGGGCTTTGCTACACGCGAAAAATTTCGAACGAATTTCTAAAGTATGAAAATAAACCGAGACAGGAATGTAGCGTCTTACTATCAACTGGTTCCGGATAATTCTCTATAGCCGTTAAATGGTATCATTAGGCAGAATTCCTTGAACGCTGACATTGTAACCTAGGTAATCTATTCTCTTCTGCAGAAAACTACTTTTTTGAAATTTTATCTCAAGGTTAAACTCACTAGTCGCCTAGCAATCTTGCTAATATCACTTATGTTCCTCCACAGAGTATGATGGTAAGATAATATCGTCCACAAAACGACTATTTGCCGATTTTTGAAAAGTCTCCCAAAACATCAGAGATAAATCTCTGAAAAACAGCTGGACCATTCTTAAAGCAAAAGGCATTCTCAAGTATTCGAACTGACCATCTGGAGTACAAAGGCTGTATACTTCACAGATTCTTCCTCAACACCAATATGGTGAAACCACTCTTGAGATCTATAGCTGAGACACGGATTACCCTCAAGGTATTCTAAACAATCTTCGATAAGGGGTAACGGGAAATTATCTCTAGCTGTCTTCTTATTAAGTCCACGGTAATCAACGCACATTCTTACATTTCTATCTTCTTCTTAACTAAAACCACAGCTGAGGCATAAGGCGAAATACTCGGTCGGATGATTCTATTGGCCAAAAGTTCATTAACTGTATCGGAAACTATTTCTCTCTCTCGATATGACAACCTTCTAGGGGCACAGTAAAATGGCGTAGAGTCTGTAAGGCGAATGCACATCTTGTATTTTGGCGTACCATAACTTTTAGTAAACCTATCAATATATTGGCTCTGTATTATTTTACTACAATCTCGCATCAAAGTACTACCAAATTCTCCTCCTACGTTAACCAAGTCATTTTCATTTGAGGATATTCTAAATTCGCGAACTCGTGCATTCATTCCTGAAACACCTGAGGCTTCACCGGGGTTGCAATTGCGTTTACAGATATTTGCCTATCTTTGTTTTTAACTATGTTCTTGTTTAATTCAGCTTATTAGTAAATGGGGATGCACAGATTGGATCTGATGATAACGTAGTATTACTTTTTACTGATAATTCATGAAGTACTTTTTCTTTAACAGTTTTTCTTACAACTAATCTGAGTGACAAAAGTTTGAGTACGTCTTTGCCTAGTAATATAGGTGTTGGTTATATGAAATCAGGAATGACAAAAGCTTCAATGCTATAATACTTATTCTTATACAAAAGTATATCTCTATATTTCCAAATGTCAAAATTCTTTGGCCGCTTAGGCCGCGAAAACTGCTAAACTGCTTCACCAAGGGCTCATTCTTCACTACTTGCGGAATAACGCCCCTGCTTACGAAACTCAATGGGCTTCCGGTATCTAATAATGCAAAAATGTTATCAATATCAGTGCATCCCTTTTTCTAGGTAATCGTATGCTTACTAATTGAATAAAGGAATTTCCTCCAATGGAATCGTCGTCACCATCCTTCTCGTCCTTCCCGTCACTAGTTGAGAGGGCAGCTGTTCTCCTACGGTTTGGGCACTGCCGATATTGGTGCCCAGTCTCGAAACAATCGAAACAAGCTCCATCCGGGCGCTTCGGCTTCTGACACTGACTGCTGAAGTGTCCCATTAATCGACAATTGAAGCATATTATGTTTGCGGTCTCTCCTCCAGAGCTCATGGGTCTAGTTGCAGGTGACTGTCGCAAAGGTATAACCGGACGCAAAGGTGCTACCGGTGTCTTCCGCCTGTTTTCCACGTGCACGAGCTGGTATCGCATCATCTTCTCGCGCAATTCATCAAGGGAAGTGCAATAATAGAGTGGAGTCGCACATCCGGTATGATCCTGTAGCCCATCAACGATGTACTTTATGATGTCTATGTCCTCGAATGCCCCTTGCTCAGCAATACTACGCAATGAAATATTGTAGAAGCGACTCATCCTTGAGAATTATACGGTTCTGCAACTGCTTTGCCACCTGGTGATTGGACATTTGGAATCCAAAGGTTTTCTTCAGCTGCTCGCTAAGTTCCTTCCAAGTAGCGGGTTTCTCCAGCATAATGTACGAGCGAGCCGTGCCCTCCAGCACTCGATTACTCACAGCCAACGTTGCAAGTCGTTTAATCCGTGCATAGTTGCCACCAGTTCAAACTCACGGATCCATGCATGAACAGACAGGTTATCATCTCCAGAAATCTTCACAAATTAGCCTTAAGGTCTCTGATATTAAGTTGCCATCCAAAGCGGCAACCTTAACCTTCAACTCATCAAGATCCTTTCGTGCCGTATACAGCTTCATCTGGTTCATGATTTCAACCATCTCGTCTTGGTCTTCCACCACGCTCTCGCAGACGCCATCCACCACGTTCTCGCACACGCCATCCGCCACGCCTTCGCACATACCATCCACCACGGTTTCGCACACGCCATCCACCACGCTCTCGCAGACGCCATCCGCCACGTTCTCGCACACGCCATCCACCACACCTTCGCACACACTTTGCTCCTCCGCATCTTTCAAGGCGTCATGATCTCGGTCCGCAAGCATGCTCCTCACCATTCCTCGCAACTGGTGAATACTCTCCTTCCCGGTTAGCGGCACACGTTTCTCGGAAAGCCATTCAGAAAGCCCCTTCATCGTCAGGTTGAGTATCTCGGCGTATTTCATCATAATATTGCTTTGGGCGAACCCCACACCTGATTTGTAAACTCTACTGGCTGTTATTTAGTTGAAACTGCGCGGGATGGTTTAAAATTAATTATATTTAATATTTGCACTTCTTCTTCGTGGCATCTCCTTTTTTCAAGTGACCGTCCACTGGCGTCTCTTAAAATCTAGCTTTTTTACATCGAGGACTTATCGATATCTTATAATAATATAGTTACACTAGGGCTCGTAAATACGGTGTTTACAAATTACTTATTTTCTTAACTACAACTTAAATAATAGATATAAGAAACTGAATTAATAATTGCATAAATTTGTTTAATTTTTACCTTTTTAATTTTTTTAATTTTCCCAATTTTTACTCATATACAATATATATCATTAGCGCTCCCCTCTGTCTCCTGCCGCTCCTCCTAGTTCGACTCAAAAGAATGAAACACTTCACTAGATATATATATATAAAGCAATATAGCCTTCGTGGAACTGAGTGCGACTTGGCGATTGCTTTCTTAACTCTCATAAAATGGCACATCCTGACAAGATACATACATAGCCAGTGAATGATTTGCGGCTTGTCGTATCACCAGCCAACCTCCAACCCTCAATTGCCTTTCCTTGTTTGTGTAGCATATCTCCAATATAGAGTTTTGGCTAAACACCGAAACATATGCTTAGCTGCCGCTTCATGCTCGGAATGGGTATCCTTGTTGCATTGAACTTGTTTATGGTATGGTATGTTTATGGTACTGCGGCCAAACCAATCTGAGTCACATTCAGCAATTTCAAACAAGCGGAGAATTACTGGTGCTGAGTGGTTCATCCGTAACGTAGACATAGCAAGAGATTTTAAAGTTCCCTTGATAAGAGACATAATCAATGAGCAAGCCAAGCAATAAAGGAATAAGCATATATCTCACCCAAATATCTTTGCTAGGAGACTTGCATCTCGGCGGACTCGGCGAAGACTAAAAGAATTCATCCCTCGGACCTTCTGAGGAGGAAGATTTATTAAGGACTTTTAAAATTCCCTGCCACTTCCTACTCCCAATTACCACACTTTAACCCTTACATTTTTGTACATTTTCATTCAATTTCTCCCCACACTATTATTTAAGTTGCTACAGTATAGTAACAAATCTACATATATATATAAAATGAAACCCGTTTTCCGTCGCCGCCACATAATATGAAAACGGGTCGACCGATTTGGCTTATTTTTTATACCCTTGCAGGGTATTATAATTTCAGTCAGAAGTTTGCAACGCACTGAAGGAGGCACCACCGACTATATAAAGTATATATATTCTTGATCCGGATCAAGAGTCCAGTCGATCTAGCCCTGTCCGTCTGTCCGTCTGTCCGTTTCTACGCAAACTAGTCTCTCAGTTTTGAAGCTATCTGAATGAAACTTTGTAGTTAGCCTTCTATATGCTCTCACTCGTATATATGTCGGAACGGGCCAAATCGGACGACTATATCATATAGCTGCCATAGGAATGATCGGAAAATTTTTACAAAAAAATGTTAACATTTTTAGTTTTCAACAGAATTTGATGAAATTTAAGGTATAGCCAGTTCATATGATTCTACAATTCTGTTTATGAATTTTATGTAAATTAGACGACTATATCATATAGCTTCCCTAGGAAGAAATTAATTCAATTAAAAGTATAACATTTTCAGTTTTCAAAAGATTTTCATCAAATTTGAGATATAGCCGTTTATATTATTCTACAATTTTGTGTACCATTTTATGAAAGTTGGACTAATATATCATATAGCTTACATAGGAACGATCGAGAAATTTGAGAGGAATGAGAATGGCGGTGGCTGTTGTCGGAAGACTGACAATCGCGGTAACATTTTTAGTTTTCAACAGAGTTTAATCAAATTTAAGATATAGCCATTTCATTTTATTCTTAAATTTTGTGTAAAATTTTATGAAAATTGGACGACTATATCATATAGCTCCCATAGGAACGATCGAGAAATTAATTCAATTAAAAAGTATAACATTTTCAGTTTTCAACAGATTTTCATTAAATTTGATACATAGCCGTTTTATATTATTCTACAATTTTGTGTCGAATTTTATGAAACTCGAACTACCATACAATACAGCTGCCATAGAAACGATCAAGAAATTAATAAAATTAAAGATTATAACTTCTTCAGTTTCCACCAGATTTTCATTAAATATGATATGTAGCCATTATATTTTAATCTACAATTTTGTGTAAAGTTATAAAAAAAACCGGACTACTATATCACATAGCTGCCATAGGAAAGATCAAGAAATTAATAAAATTAAAAATTATAACGTTTTCAGCTTTTAGCAGATTTTCATTAAATTTGAGATATAGCCATTTTATATCAGTCTTAAATTTTGTGTCAAATTTATGAAAATCGAACGACTATGTCACATAGGTGCCATACAAACGATCGTTAGATGTGGACTAAAAATGCAAATCTGTGAATGTAAAACTGAAAATATAATATGTATAGGTGAATGAAATGAAAGCAGGTATTACTTCATTGTTTTTTAATCTTATATATATATTTTATATTGTATGGATTCTTCGTCATCGAAGTTCTATCTGCAAGGGTATATAAACTTCGGCGTGCCGAAGTTAGCTTCCTTTCTTGTTTTTTTGTAGTTTTTAATACTCTGTACAAGGTTCTTACGGAAAATAAGAAAAATATCATATATATTAAAAAAAAGCGCATTGAGTATGTTCGGTCAAACTGATCAAAACTCAACACAGCGGTTCGTTACAACATTTTCGATCAAGCTTCGGGCACAATACAAACAAGTTCGTTCAGTTCACTGATTTGTTCTGCTAGCTGATTCAAACTGATTGGTTGATCATCAAAACGAGATCGGAACTGATCGTGCAGAAAAAGAACGATCGAGGCCAACGATTCATAAGAGCTCGGGTTTCGCTCATGTTTGATTTGATTTGAATGATGCAATCATACCGAACATATGTATATAATTATATTTGCAAAGATAAGAAGTTGCGATGCATGGAATTAACTTAACATATGTATATAATTATATTTGCAAAGATAAGAAGTTGCGATGCATGGAATTAACTTAACATATGTGTATAATTATATTTGCAAAGATAAGAAGTTGCGATGCATGGAATTAACTGAATCAGATTAGCTTCATTTATTTGTCATTTTATATCCTTAAAACTGAAATTCAACAATTACCATGCTTAGAACACTAAGGAAGACAAATTCTTCTTCATGAAATAATCGGGTTGAATCAAACCCGGTGTGACCAAAATGAATGATTGTGATCGGCCTGAATGCAAGGAGCAGTCTAGATCATTCTTTGCAAGTAGATGGGATTTCTAACAACCGGGACAGCTTTGATCTTTTTATCGCTAATTAGGGTCATTAATTAGATAAATTAGGGTTATCTGACACCTGACAGCCCTTAAAAGGGTAGGGTAATAAAAATTTATTAGGGTCACTGATTGAATGGTGTGAGGACACGTGAGAAACGTGTATGGAAGCGCTACCGCCACGAAGACGCGACTACGAGTGCGAATGCGATGGAGCGATATTGAAACGCATTCAATCCGCATTTAACCATCTTCCCACGATCGAATCACACACCAAAAAGGGATGGAGGGTGAAAAGGTCACATGACACCTGTCCACTCACACAAGTTCAAGAAGTCTGTGTACACCTGTAATCACACAATGCATTAAAGAGGGAGGGATGAAAAGGTCACAGTCAGCCGAGATTTTCATTGATGATAAAAAGGATCACTTGTGTGTGCACAAAAGGAGACACTTGTGTGTGCCCGAAAGGAGACGCTCACCAACGATTCGTCAATTAGAAAAAGGGATGGCGGAACATATGTACTCGTACCCCTTTGCCTATATAAGAAGTCATCTAATTGAATCATTTATCCCATCCCACTAATTTTCCACTTGCACTAATTTTCCACTTCATTGCAACCTCCAACGCCATTAATGAAAACTCAGGTCTTCAACTTTAAAAAGACTACATTAACATAAGGGTAGAGTGGTGTGG